CCCCCCCGGCCCGGCCCCCCCTCCCCGCTCCGACCCCCCTTCGCTCCAGAGGAGGGGCCCGGCCCCGCTCGGCAGAACCCCCCTCCCCGGGGGCGGCAGCGGAGACCAGAGAGGGAGGGGGGGACAGACCCCCAGGGTAAGTACAACTCCCCCTCCCCCACCTTCTGCCCCCAAGGGGGGGTCTCCCGGGTGGGGGGTTGTTACCCCTCCCCCAGGGTGGTGGGGGGCGGGGGGCGGGGTTTAGCAGCCCCCTAAGTTTGGTGCCTGGAAGGGAGGCGAGGGGCTTTATCCCCCCCCCATTTGGAGTTGAGAAGTTTGTGCCCAGAGGGGGGGTGCGGGGGGGGTGTCAGGACTTACACCAGCCCCCTTCCCTGGCTTGGGCTGGAGGGCAACGGCGCCCTCCCCCCTTCCAGCCCCCCCGCCCAGTGTGGGGCCTGGGGGAGGCCCAGCCCTGGGGCCTGGGGCAGGGGAGACCCCAGGTGCGTGCTCAAAGGCGGAGCCTAGGGTCGGCCCTGCTGCTTTGCATTGCTGTGCCTAGGGTGGTTGGGGGCCCAGAGAGGCCCCCCGGTTCTCTGCTGAGATTCCTGTGGGGGAGCGAAGGGCGAAATTGGGGGGGGGTGTTTCTCATCTGCCAGCTTCCTGAGGTTCCCCCTTTTGTTTTGAACGTCCCCGGCGAGTGCCTGGCGGTTGGGTCTCTTGCTTCGCTGGCCACCTGCAACTTCTGCAGGAGCCAGGAACCAGCAAGAGGCTTGAAAAGCTTCATGTGGTGTCAGCCTGTCGGGGAGCTTGTAACTGGCCACCTGCATACGCCAGTGGTATTCTGTGACCAGTGTCTCTGGGAGTCCGAGGTAAAGGGACCTGTCCAGATGGGAGCTGAAAGGCCCAAAGTTTGTGATAACATGGGGGTGGGGGTGTCTGTGGCCTCTTTCATCTCAAAGAGAGAGATTAAAGATTGTGAAGTGTTATGAGACAGATCTGGTGATGAAGAGCGCTCTGTAAGAGAGAGAAATTACTGTTATTTATTGTTACTCACAAACTACCTGCATGCAGCACTTACGAAAGGCCACTAGCAGCCACCTCTGGACTGGGGATATGGGGAGAGGAATTCTGGGCCTGGAAACGGGAGCAAACACCCTGCTCTTTTGCAAAGCATGATGGGACCTTTAATATCCTTACAGAACAGGGCCTTTGCTTTTAAGAGCTGCTCTGAAAAATACAAACACAGTAAACTTCCTGGGACTTGGCTTGTTTGCCATAAGGCTGGAGAGCAGGCCGGGCCAGTGGTCTATATTATATAATTCACTGTCCTCTGTCTGACCATTTATGGATGCTTCAGGGAAAGTTGCAAGAAGCCCCTTAATTACGGAATAAGGTGCTCAAAAGGGATGTTTCATCCAAGCCACTGTCAGTCAGCCATTGTCTTATGCCCTGTGTCAGGTTTTTATCCCTTACAGTATTTGTTTAATATCATGTTTAATGTAACTTGCTATTTTCGCTATCATAGCCCGTCCTCTGAATCCTGCTATGAAGATCTCTTTTGGCACTGAGTTTTGCAGGTGGTGTATAAACCTTTTCATTTGATCAGTTTCATTGGCTGTGCCCCTGTGATCTCATGTTAGGAGAGGGTAGATAGGAGCCCCTGTATCATGAGTTATTTTATGAACCTCTATCACACCCTCTTCTGTCCTGTCACCTCTTGAACAGTCCCCATCTTCTGTGGAAGTCTTCCCAGGCATCTGGTTGTTTTTGATGCCTCTCTCTGAACTACTCCCATGCCTATTTTGAGATAGGGTGACCAAAACTGAGCCTGGAGATCTGAGGCCCACACCGCTGAGCCACTCTCTATGGTTTTATATGATCTCAGCCATCTCCAACCTTGCAGAAACTTCTTTTTAGAAGGCCAGTTGCCCTGGGCTGTCCAAAGAGTGCCCAGGCTCAATTTACGGCGAGTGTCATGCTGGCTGCTGGAATGGTGGGCCAGGCTCTAGTCATACCATGGCTGGACTATTGCCACAGGATTGCAGTCTCTTCACGACACGGGGTAGATTTGATTTATGCCTCCTCCCCTTTCCTTTATTTCTCCTGTATTGTACCTTAATGCAGGCAGCTAGCCTAGCGGCTCCTGAGCTGAGGATACAACATAAACTTGTACATAAAGCCCTTAGCAGCTTCTCTTCTATCTGAGTGGTGTCCGGGCCTGCACTTTGTGCTCTGTGTCTGACCTATAGCTTTATTACACCTTCTGTGCCCTGGGGTAGCTCCAGTCATGAGGCCTCCTCTCCTCTAGTTCTGTGTCAGGAGACGCCTGGCTTACCATATGCATACCTGTGGTTCGCCTAGGCGCCCAGCTGCAGTCAGAACACCTTGTGCTGGGATCGAGAACACCTCGCTCTGGCATCCCCTCGTGGCTTGCAAGTGAAATAGGGCTTGGCCAGTGCCTGGGAGAACCCGCAGAGGCATGATTGTTAGATGTACTTTTCCCTCCGAATTGGTCCTGGACCAGTGCCCCTGCCTGGTGCTGGGCAGCTGCTGAAGGGACTATGAAACTAAAACCCCCGTTAAGATTTTCAGAAGTGACTAATATTTTTGGCTGTCTGGCTTGAGACAGGCACTTCAAAGGGGCCTGACTTCCAGGGAGAGGGTGCTTAGGACTTTCCGATAATCAGCTCCCTTTGAGGCGTTTCAAGTTGGGCTCCCAGAAATTAAGGCCATAATCATTGTTACTTCTGAAAAGCTTGACCACGGCCATTTGTGGCCTTCAGAACTCCCGTGGTTGGCCTGGCACCCCCCTGCCCCCCGAATATGGGGTATTCGACTCTGCGTCTTGACCAGAGTCCAGCACAGGTAATTAGACTTGATTCTCGTTCACTTCCTGGCCTAAACTGCCTTGTACCATTGCTGTGCGCTGTGAAATGGGCTCTGTGTTTGGTCCCCGAGGTGGCTGCATTTCAGTGGGGGGGTGAAGTGATCCCTTTGTTACACCAGCGTGCAAACCACTTGTCTGATCTCAAGGCCTTCTGTAGCGCGCTCCCACTTCTGTAGGTATTTATGCTTAGCTTAGTGTTTGATCTAAGGGCTGGACTATACTGAAAACTATCATTGGCAGAGCTCAGTGTCTCAGGGGTGTGAAAAATCCACGTGCCTGAGAGACGTAGCTACGCCGACCTAACCTCTGGTGTCACTGACGTCGCTACTGCCCCTCGGGAAGGTGGATTAACTACAGTGACGGGAGGACCCCTCCCATCGCTGTAGTGTAGGGTGACCAGATGTCCCGATTTTATAGGGACAGCCCAATTTTTGGATCTTTTTCTTATATAGGCTCCTATTACCCCCCACCCCCGTCCCGATTTTTCACACTTGCTGTCTGGTCACCCTACTGTAGTGAGTGTCTACACCAGTGGTTCTCAACCTATTTACCATTGTGGACCGCATATGAAGCTCTCCGTGTTATGTGGGCCGCATCCACATAACATATATACTACCTGTATGGCCCTGAGGAGGTCACGTGAGCCGCAACTGTGTGCTGATTGGGTGGCGGGTTGAGAACCATGGGTCTACACGGAAGCGCTATGGCTGTAGTGTTTTAAGTGGAGACATAGCCTCAATATATGAAAGGAGCTTTGTAATTGTAAATTTCTCATTAACTTAAATGTTAAATGCCTGAACTCCGAGCATTCCTTTTAGCTGGCTGCTCCCTAACTTCTCGGGGGTGGGAAAAATGCTACCATTTCCAAGGAAGTTGCATGGGGATGGGATCCCCCCAGCGCCCTTCGTGTCGCTGTCAGCTCTTTGAGGCTATATCTGGTCTAGTGTAGCAGCTTGCAGTCCCAGCCTCTCCCCCTCATCCTACTGTTCTCGGACTGCTTGGTGCTGTCTCTTTCTTGCTTCACCTTTCCCCTGCCTGCCTCCCACAGAGGGGTCCAAGGTCATGATCACCTTGGGAGGCAGGGTGACTCAACTGCACTTTGTGTTACTCTTTTGTGGTGGGGGCAGGAGCGGTGTCTTCCACTGTGGGCTCTGCCACAGACCTGGGTTCTTTCCTCCTCTGCGTGGCTGGTCACAACTCTTCACACGAGCCTGCTGGGAAGCAGGAGCAACGGAAGGCGCATGGCCCTGCGAGTTATCTCGTTCCTCCAAAGGAAGCTTCCATCATTCTTAAGACATTGGATCCCCAGGGCTTAACTGAGTGGTTTGGTATTGGGGGACGGGGGAGTTCTTTGGAGGAGCAGGATCTTTCCTTGGGATCCAAGGAGCAGTCATCAACGGGGACATATTTCCCTGCAGACTGACTCTGGCGTTCCTAGAAGGGGAGCAGCACCTGGGAAACAAGGGGGAGAATTGAATAAAGGCTGCAGAGTTAAAGCTTTAGTGACCACCCCCAGGTTTGTGAGAATGTGACTTTTTCCTGCCTGCGAAGGTCCCGTACACGGCCGATGCACACGGGAATTCTTCTCTTCCGTCACTCTGGGGAGCAGCGCTGGTGTGTTTCAGTCCCCAGCCCATTTGCCAGAAATGAAACGGACGAGCACACGTGTGTGTCTGCAAATCAAAACACAGCTGGCCGAGCTACTTTTAGGCCTCCCAGCCTTCATGCTCCTTTAACCGTTCTCCGTGTAAAGAAATTCCACCAGTGGCTGGCCTTGGTTCAATCCTCCTTGTCTCTGACGCCAGCTGAAGTGGTCTTGTTGCACCTGTTGCCTTCACGGCTGGGAATTCAGCCTACATTTTCAGTCTCCCTTTGAACACTCAGGCCTGCTTTCTCTAACCATTTAGAACAGTTAAGATCCCTCACTGCTTTATTCACTCCCCCCAGATCCATTCTGCTTTTTCTGCCTAAGTTCTAGCAAGTATGAATGGCATAATTTCCCTGCCTCTCCTCTTAAATTCATGTTGGCAATCCGTAATTAAGTCATAGCTGTGAATGTCCCCAGTACTTTCCTTCAGAGCAAAGGTAGCAATTTGATAGTTTGCAGCCTATTTGCCTAAATCCTTTGTTAAATACAGATGTTCTTTCAGTGTCTCAGCACTCTGTCTGTGCCTCCTGGATTTTCAAAGAGCTGTGAAATGTATTTGCTGAAGATTTCCCGTCTCTTTCACTGCCTCCTTTGGAATGCAAGGGCGGATTCCATCTGGATC